TGCCACAGGGATTCAGACTGGGATGTTTACAGGCTTTTGAAATATATTTATGAGTACAGTAAATGCAGAAAAATGCAACAACTCATATTTTAAAAAGAAAAATAAAAAACAAAAAAATTGGTAATTTACCCCAAATTTGCTTACTGGAATCAAGATTTTGAGGTAAAATCCAATACCGCTGTTGTGATATTTTCCAATAGCAACCATATGGATAAACAAATTGTTTTTAAAGATGGATGTTGGTTTTCTTTTCATAACATGCAAGCTTTACGATTATTCATAAAGACTATAATTTTAAAAAGATGATTACAGTGTTAATTGTGTAACAGCCAAACACGAGGTGAGTGTTGGCATTTTGTCAGAGCTTTTGTTATGTATCTGTAAGACTTTTTTTTTTTTTTAGCTTGGTCTCTTAAGAGTACATCAATTTTGTCTCTCAGTTTATGCACATGGGCACACATCTTTTTTTTATATATTTTAATCAACTGGATCATTTCAGCACAGGTTTGTCTGAAAGGTAAAAATCCACAGATTTTATAGGCTTGAAATAGAAGAAAAAAATTCTATCACTGTCTAGACAAGAAGCTACACCTTGAGCTCACATGCTAGAGATGAGTATCTACATATAAAAGCTATAAAAAGTAAAGAATCACAGGAAAGCTAATGAAAAATCACCATCTGCAAAGGGCCCAAATCTGTGGGAAATAAGGCCTCATCTGCATCAGTGCTTCTGGCAATTTTAATTCCATGTACACCGTTACTGGTGAGGTACCTGAGCACACACGTCAATCAGCCGCCGGTACTCCAGCAAGCAGCACGTGAGGGCTGCAGAGGCACCAAGCAGCTTAGCTCCCTGAACCTGCATAGACCCAGTCCTGCACATTTTGAATGCAAAGGTTGGTTTAAAAAAACCTGGAGAGTGAAGTGTAAATAGCACTGTGGAGAGCCTGTTTACAGGGGATACTCCAGCAGCTCTGTACGCTGCGAGATCGCAGAGGTTTAAAACAAACACATTGCGCTTGTCCAAACCAGTAACAGAAATGAAGACCCAAAGCCAGAAATATCCAATGCTACTGGAGCTAGGAAACTCATGCAGAGGGTGAGGCTGCTATACATGGGTGCATTTTGTGTAACATTTGCCTCTGGGCTGTCATCACTTGAACGCTGTCCTTACACCTTACGTTATGCCCTGGTTTGAGCTAGAACAGAACTCATTCTTCTCAGTGATTCCACTTCTCAGCTCTGTCTCTAGCTGCACCGTATGAAGTTAATGGCAGACTTTCACAGACAGTGTCTGCTCCTAGCAGTGACAGCACTTGATGTTCAGAGATACCACCATGGATTGGTGGGTGCAGAAAGGCTCCAGCTTACACCTGCTCCTGTGCAGACCGAGGTCACTGCTACACCTTGTGTACTACACTGGAAGGCACAGAAGGTAAAGAGGCTGCACTTTTGGGGAGGAGCAGACAGGGCAGGTGACCCTAAACTGACCATTAAGGGATTCCATCCCATATCCATCATATTCAGTATAAAGCTGAGGGATCACAAGGGTCAAGTCTCTTCTTCAATGGCCAGCATCCAAGGAGGAATCTGTCCGTTCTGTCCTCAATCCCCATCTGTGTGTTCCTGAATCTAGTTCCAGAGCCCAGTTCCCGAGTCCAATTCCCATCTGCTGTAGAGTGCAGTCTGGGACTCCCCCAGTGCCTGCTCCACAGCTTCAGTGGAGGAAACCAATAAAACACGATTAATGAAGTAGAATGAACATAGTAAATGTCTGGCAAACACTTGTTCTTCCTCCATTTTTTAAAACAAAGAAACTGAACCATATTTTATAGGAATACTTAAAATAATCTTAAAGACCATTATTTTGCTGCTTAAAGAACTCTGTTCTTCATTAGGCAGCCAATGCTAGTCCCCAAAATTATTGTTATAATTACACTGATTTTTCCTTGGTATAACACTTCCATTGATCCAAATAATTTTCTGGTATTGGTTGAGCTAATGAAATCAGTATCTGACTTGTTACCTTGATGCTGATTTGCATTCTGCTTTAAAAAGACTTTAGTGGATTTACTGAGAATAAAAAAAGGCACATAGAAAAGTCAAACCCACAAAGATAAGACTGTACATAAAAACTGCTAATCGTGTGTCGAGGTGTCACTTGACAACCTCTAACTTAATTGAAAATAAAGTGTCTATTACAAACATTTAGACTTGGGAGATCAACAGACTAATCTGATGTATTTAAAAATGGAACAACGAGGTATATTCTTCAATGCAATTGAGTCACAAAAATCCCCAGGGTAATGGAATGGATTACTAAATCCTGTAATAGCTGACGCTCGTTTCATGACAGTATTGCACAAAATGAGAGAGGGACAACATGGCGGTTCACTTCTGCCTCTAGGCCAGAGGGGCCGCATGGCAAGGTGTACCAGTACTGGAAATTACTATGCAGTACAATCATCAAATTACAGGCAAGATACAAAATTACAGTTGTGACACCAAATAAACTTCCACTTTTGGCAACTTTCTGAAGCCTTATGAGTGATGTTGTGTCTTTCTTTTACCAGGATTCAGTCTATGGGATTTTACAAATTCCTGGGCAAGTAAAATACACTATACTTACTAATACTTAAAGCACACGTGTAAGGAAAGCATGGAGCACTACAAGTAAAACACAGCAAAGCATCTTTATTGATATTCTATTCCTCCAAATCATTTTAAAGAATGGAAAAATAGAATTGAAAATTAAAAGCTAAGATGTAAAAAACTTTAAAACAAACTATAATTATTTGGAAAAGAGTTTGGCCCACTCAGAAAGAACTTTTTATCTAAACTCTTTATCTAAAGATGCACCACAGTAAAAAGTTAAGCACAATACCAATTATTCCTGTATTATCAGTTCAGGTAGCAAGTGGTTCTGGAACAAAAATAATTTCACTCCCCAAGTTTAGCTGATTTCTAGTTACACTTTGGAATTGAAAACAGACCTGCTGAGGCCTATTAACATCTTATATAGAACTGTAGAATCATTAAGGTTGAAAAAGACCTCTAAGCTCATCAACTCCAAATGTCAACCCAACACTACCATGGCCACTAAACCATGTCCCTTAGTGCCATATCTACTCGTATTTTGGACACCTCCAGGGATGGTGACACCAGCACCTCCTGGCCAGCCTGTTCCAGTGCCTAACTACTCTTGCAGGAAATAACTTCTTCCCAATATCCAATCTAAACCTCCCCTGGCACAGCTTCAGCCCACTTCCTCTCATTCTATCAATAGTTATTTGGGAGAAGAGACCAACACCCACCTCACTCCAGCCTCCTTTCGGGGAGTTGTAGAGAGCAAGAAGGTCTCCCCTCAGCCTCCTCTTCTCCAGGTTCAACAATCCCAGTTCCCTTAGCTGCTCCTCGTAAGATGTGTTCCCCAGACCCTTCACCACCTTCCTTCCCCTTCCCTGGACCTGCTCCTGCACCTCAATGTCCCTCTTATCCTGTGGTGCCCAAAACTGAACCCAGTGCTCGAGGTGCAGCCTCACCTAGTCCAGGGGCATGATCACTTCCCTGCTCCTGCTGGCCACACTGTTTCTGATACAAGCCAGGGTGCTGTTGGCCTTCTTGGCCACCTGGGCACACTGCTGGCTCATGTACAGCTGGCTCTCCACCAGCAATCCCAGGTCATTTCCTGCCAGGAACTTTCCAGACACCCCTCCCCAAGCCTGGAGCACTGCATGGGGTTGCCATGACCAATGTGCAGGACCCAGCACTTGGCCTTGTTAAACCTCATAGGATTTTCCTCATCCCATCAATCCAACCTGTTCAGATCCTTCTGCACAGCCTCACAACCCTCAAGCAGCTCGACACTCCCACTTAAGTTCCTGCCATCTGCAAATTTACTAAGGGTGCATTTGATCCCCTCATCCAGGTAGACACATATATAAAGGTCTACCTGGCAAAGGAAGAATCTTCAATGTTCCTGCTCAATTTGGTGTCATCTGCAAGCTTAATGAAGGTGCCCTTGATTCCCTCATCCAGGTCACTGATAAAGATATTAAACAAGACCAGTCCCAAATCTGAGCCCTGAGGGACACTACTCGTGACCGGTCATCGACAGGATTTAACTCCATTCACCACAACTCTCTGGGCTCTGCCATCCTGCCAGTTTTTAACCCAGAAAAGACTCCACCTGTCTAGGCCATGAGCCACCAGCTTCTCCAGCAGAACACTGTGGGAAACTGCCACATGCCTTACTGAAGCTCAGGCAGCCACCGCTTTTCCCTCATCCACTTAAGTCACATCCATTTAAGTTACAAGACAATCAGACAAATAAATTAACTGGTTCAGCTTCTCACCAGAACAGATAGGGAGCACTCCAAAGTTAGGAGTCCAAAGGCAGTATAAGGAATGGCTGCCACCTTTCAGCTCCTGCCTGCTGGTACCTGTAAGCTTTCCAAGCCCTAACTGTAGAGGACAAGTCTCAAACAAAGTAAGAGGTGGCTCTCCAACAGCACTCTGCTCAGAAAGCTCTCACAGGTACACAGAGGAGAGACACCAGATTTACGTGAAAAGTTGTATATTTAACTGTGATCTCTGGTTAACTACTCAGCACTGACAGTCAACTGGCAGTTGAATCTAACAGGAATAACGAGCTCAAAACAATTCAGTACTCCACTTGCAATCCCAAACACAGAAGAACCCAAGCGCTTGCAGCTTCCCACCCACTCCCAGAGTCACGGTGAACAAAGCTGTCTCATTACCCTTCTCCCACCCCTCAGTTCCAGGACATTCACCAGCCAAAACACACAAAATACTCCATATTCCTGGAACTACAGAATTAGAAAAATATTTGACATTTCACACTATCACAAAAGTTGCTTTAATAAGTTACAAGTCGGATGTTTCACTTTCCACAGGAGAGTACAGAAAAATTCAACAATCAAAATGGCTAAAAGCTGAAAAAAACCCACTGTGAACCTGTTTTGCACAGACAGATTTTGCTGCTGTCTCTGCTAAAGAGCGAATCTGTTGACATTGAATATCTTGACACAGTGATCAGCTCCACAGCTGGCCAGCTGCAGCCACTCGCTGCCGTGGTGGTCGCCGTGTCCGGCTCTGCCCGCACGGTGCCTCCAGCACAAACGCCTCACAGCCAGGGCGTGACTGTGGCTGCAAGAAGAGAAACCCACAGGTGACTGCAAAACGTCAAACACGGCCACACGCGACTCTAAACATCAACACTTACACAATTACTGCCCTTCTATTAACACTGCCAACTGAGGAAAAGCTGACCTGTGACAACCAGCAGGTTTGAACTTCTTAAAATAAACAGGGCCATTAGCAGTAATGACATTTCATCCTCTCACCCATCAATAACAGAAACAGCTATTGATTTCAAGTTCTACCACATTAAACTGCAGGTTGAGCATCTCAGTTACTGAGACATGACAGATCTCTGGCTTTCAGCCTATGATTTCCTGTCATCCGCTCTCTCTTTCCAACTCACTTCAAGCACACACAGGCCAGTTACCATCAGCTTTCATTCCTGGTGCTAGCAATGCCAGCAGGTGAAGGAAGCATCCAGGGGAGTGCCCCAAGTGAAACGTTCAGGGTCTCTACAGAGAGCTCCTCCAGCTGTCGCCGCAGCAGCACCACATCAGCCTGACATTCCTTTGGTTTCTGCTAGAAGCTGCTCTTGAAAGCATCCTGTCACCTACTCCAAAATGCTTTGTTGATGTATACAGACAGTGATTCTTCCTCCCCCCTCCCTTCAGAGTCTTCTATCGTCTTATGATTAAAACTAATAAAGGTTTCCTTTTTTTTTTTTAAATTTTATTTTCAGTGGGGCAAACAAAGGATAATAATTCTCAAAGTATTTACATAGCATGAAGTATTTGGGGGTTTAACCTGCCCCTTTTGTAGGGGTTTGTCGGGCTTTTTTTAAATAAATCTAAATAACCAAAATTTTTATTTTCAGGTTTTGCTGAAAATATCTTTAGACTTTCAGGAATCAATTTTTTCCTAAAAGGATAACAATTTTTGATAGACAAATAAACCAGTTTCAGATCATTTCATACCACAAGAACAAAACTCCAGTACTATTAGCCTTAAGAATAATGTTTCCTTCCTAACTCCTTTAAAAAAGACATACCTGTTATGCATCTCAACACAAGTGGTCCAATCAGCTAGTGATGGTTCTTGCCCACTCTGATTCCATGTGTGCAAGAGAATCTTCCCATTCTCTAAGCCCACTGCAACAATATATCTGTCAAGAGAGTAACTGCATTAGTTCTGAAAGATTACAGCAGACAGCTCAGTGAAGGAAGCTCTAATGCAAGCTAGAAAGAACTAGCACTCAAACACTGTGCTTGCCCTTCAAATCAGTGTTTACTTTGCCATTAAAACAATGACCAAAAAAACTCATCACAATTTAAAATCAAAGCTTCTGCACAAAAAATGAGCAAAGCAGAAAGGAGCAAAATATATTTGGTTAGGAAAAAATAAGGAGGTTATTACAACATCAGATTAGCCAGTGTTGTTGGAGGAATGAATGTATCCAGGTATGTTCATGTCCCCCCTTCTCGCCCTCCCCTCTTTTTTTTTTCTTGTTATACTGTTTGGAGAAGTGACCATACACCTGAAAAGAAGTCTAGGAAAGAAAAAAGTAGAGATCACTCGGTCAAAGAACAGCCAAAATATTTGATATGTAGACTTCAGAAGCTCTGTAGCAACTGAAAACTGACTAAAGGGGCAAAAGTCATAGAATCGTAGAATGCTTTGGGTTGGAAGGGTCATTTAAAGGTCACCTAGTCCACCCACCCTGCAGTAAGCAGGGACATCCCCAACTAGATCAGGTTGCTCAGAGCCCCGTCCAACCTGCCCCTGAATGCTTCCAGGGATGGGGTTTCTACCATCCCTCTGAGCAACCTGTGCCAGTGTTGCACCATCCTCACTGTAAAAAAATTTCTTCCTCCTACCTAGTGTCTCCTCTTTCAGTTTAAAACCCTCACCCCTTGTCCTGTTGCAGCGGGCCCTGCTAAAGTGACTGTCCCCACCTATGGAAGCAGAAGGCCTGCAAGGAAAAGCCATCCATACAGAAGGCACTGGGTGGTGACCACAGGGTCCTGTGCCCCCAGCCATGTCGGTGGCCAGTGTCACTGTGCTCATCTGCATATGGAAGCCCAACGGCTGCTTGCAGCATTTCCCAGACGTCTCTGCTCCCTGGCACAACATCATCAGGGCTAGTGTATCACAGGGACCTGTGCTGGCTCTTGCAAAACTCTTGGAGTGACCACAGAGGCAAGAGAAGGGGTCCTCCAGTTCCTCCACCCCAGGAGACGGAGGAGCACTTCCATGCCTTCCACGTGCCCTGTGGGATCACCAGTGCAGCATCAGTGTCTCCAAGTGGCCTTGGTAGCCATGCTGCACAGGGAAGGGCAGAAGAACAGCCACCCCGAGCAAGTCTGGTTCCAGCTCCACACCAGGGACTGGTGGGAGAAGCCTGAGCTCCTCTGAGAAGAGGAGAGAGGCTGCGGCTGCTGAGCCCTCAGCCCCAGTGGGTCTGTTTACTGGTTCCCTGTGTGTCTTGGTGGAGCACTGGCAGACTGGCAAGGATGGCCAGCCACCCCTCCAGCAGAACTGGCAGGAGACTTCTCTCACATGCATGGATGGAACAAGCCCTCTAGAGTGAAGATATCTGCCCTGGCACCCACAGGTCCCCTGGCAAAGACACCCCTCTGGGCAGAGGAAATGCCTTTTGCAGAGCCTGTTTATTTTAGCTTTGATTTGTTTGTGGGTTTAGATCCACCTTTTATAAAAACAGACAAAAAATATTTATGTGACACGAGCAGAGAAGCCCTTCTTGGCTTACTATGAAACCATTCTTGCGGTACCTGTTGCATTCATCTGTTTGCTAAATAAACAATAGAAGACATTTCTCAGCCAAAAGCTTGGCCAAATAAATCATTAAAATGAGTGTGGTGGGAAGGTGGAAGCCCATCTACTGAGAGCAGAGCAGAGCAGAGCTTTTTCACATGCACTGTTAGGGAGGAGGTGTAAGAACAATGTGGTGGGAATAACCCTAGGAGAGTCTGATCTTATTTGTGGTAATTCAGTCACTGTCACACTCAAACCAAGAATTTCAGAACAGCACTCTGTAGTTGATTTAACCACTTTGCAGGTCTGCCTTTGGGCAACACTTTAGGCAGCTGACCGTTTTCAGTGATGGTTCTGAGTTGATGCGTGCTGCCACAGAGGAGGAATGGCTATTGAATGATTAACTGGTAAAACCAACGAGTGATGAGCTGATGGTGGTGGGCAGAAGAGAAGGATGACAGACCAAGCAGGGAGCAGAAGCATAGTCTGCTTCAGGCACTCAGTGAAAGCAGGGCAAGGACCTCCTGAACTCCTTTCCCCCAAGTGCCTGGGTCAACCAGTGGGTCCACTAATTTCAAACTGAACACAAAATGGCCTTACAGGAAAAAAATCAATACCTTCCATCAGGAGTAAGCACACGGCTAATACTAACAGCAGTTACAGAATCCCCAGCATCCAGTACTGTTGAACAAGGCTTGACTGAATCCAACATTTTCCCTTCAGTAGAGACAGATAAATCACACTGGCCCCAGATAATGACCTGTAAGAAAGAGTATCATCTAGGAACTTTCACTTTATTTTTTGCTAATCCATCCGCAAAGACATAGGGAATACTTAGTTAGAATACTCCCAGGGCACAGAACAAAGTGGATGACCCCTTAAAAAAAAAAAAAAAGTCTATCTAAAAAGACTCAACTTTTTAAACAGCCTGATTTCACAAAAGACATTGACAACAAAAACAGATTCTGTTTATGAAAGTTAGAAACTTAGAGACTAATAAGAGTTATGTGACATATGGGTGTCTTCCTGTATCAAAAAAGAAGGAAGGAAGTCCAACTGGCAGACCACAGTCTTGTACATACCTATTCTATCACTTTATTGAGCATATGAAAGTCTCAATGATTTCTGTGGTAACACGAGCTTTGCTTTGTATTTATAGAGTATGGGCTCATGAGAACACAGCATCTGCTCATCTAAAATATATTTAAAATAATTCTGGGCTTTTAAAATTCCTTTCATATACCTTTTTGTCCCGACTGCCAGTAATAAAATACTTGCTGTCTGGTGTCCAATCACAAGACCAAATAATTCGACTGTGAACAGCTGTATTTTTGTCTGTGTATGCACAGCAACTGAAAACTGGTCCTGGAATAAAATAAAATTTAAAAAAAAAAAAAAAAAAAAAAAAAAAAAAAAAAGAAGAGAGGAAAATCCTTGCTTTAACTACTCTGCATATTGAAAGTAATTGTTACTTTTACTTTATGTAAAAACTACAGGAATACTCAGACATTATTCCACTCATCTTTAAAGCAATTTGCAATACTTAGTACCACAAATATTTTTTCCAGCAACCTCCATAATGATAATTAGTACTTGTTCAAGACCATATTGGTCAGCCCTTATAGCACTAAACCAGTAGCAACAGTCTGACCTTTTACACTCATATCTGACTCAGAAGAATTTAAATTGAAGTGCAAGTCCTTCAGGTTTTTTCTATATAAGTTTTTTCATAAGAACACTGACTTCAAAGGTTTTAGTGTAGTGCAATGTTTGCCATGTGTACACACATCCTCAATGATTTCATCACATCTCTTATTACCCAGTAAAGCCCTAAAAACTCAAATCATAATGATCTAATTGTAAAGATTAATCTGTTCCCAATAAGACAGGCTGCCATTTCAATATCCATACAGTCAGTCAGTAAATCTGATCAAGAGATCAGTAAAGGGGAATGATTTTCCCTTTTAGTAGAAAAGGCTGCCATTTTGGAGCAGACTTTGAACAACCACTTCCTAGGATGCCAATACCAGCAGTTTTGCTTTACAGTGATAATGATGTTCTTTGTAGACAGAAAAGTTATTGGTGAACAGATGAAAAGTAGATTTTCTCTACTTCCTATGGGAATTCACACTCCTTATTCTAAAGAACAGTGTAACTACCGTGGACAATATGCCAACCTCTAGAACAGAAGTCTCAAGCCAGGATGCAGCCAGACACTGTTTGAAGGGGCCAAAGCTCAGTGCCAAGTCTCGAGGGAAACCCTACAGAGCCAGTAGTGTTTATGTGCTATTAAGCCAACAGTGCAATGATAAACGTTTTCAGCACGAGCATCTGTTCTAGGAATCCATTAAAGTGTTCAATAGCAATCTCCTCATGATTTTGCAAGGCTCAAAGTCTTAACGAGAAAGTCAACTGAGTCTTTACTACCAGCTCTTTTTCCAGACAGAGCTAGCCCTAGTCAAATTAATCAATTGTGTAGGATTATCAGAAAGCCACACCAAAGACAAAGATTAATCATGTCAAAAGTCTCAGTGTCATGCTCTGCAAACAGGGACAAGGCAGCTCTATGTAGGACGCTGGTGACTGAGCATTGAGCCTTCCAGCTTTGCCTGCACAGATCACTGAGATAAAGGTATTCCTTGACAGAATAACAGTTTGATGTTCAGGCATTACACTCCAGCATGTACACTTCATTTAAGTAAATCTGAAATACATAATCACAAGCAGAAGGCAGGAGGACAAACAGCAGACCTCATTACATCCATCAATCAAATAGCATTTAAGGCCTGATTATATTTTTCTCCATATCTTAATTCCCTTTCTATCTTTCCCATACACCATTAGTAGCATTTCTTAAAGCCATAATAGCCTATAATGGTATTAATTCTTACATGTTGTAAGGAAAATAGCCATTAAAATACTTTACCCATTCTCTTTCAAATATTTTGAAGCCAAAGAAAGACAAAAATCAAACAAACTGCAAAGTCTTCAGATGTGTATTTCCACTTCACATATCTTACCTGACTCTGATGAGCCCTGTTTCCTCCACAGTGACCAATTCCTGTCTCTAGAAACTGCTAACAGAAATCTGTCATTAGGAGAAAATGCCAGCTGAGTAACAGTCAGATTGTGAAATGACAAACTCTGCAGTTTCTTCCAAGAAGCCGTGCTCCACAAAATAATTGCTGCATGTTCTTTTTTGGAAGCCTGGATAGATGGAAAAAAATATTAGTGAGAAATAATGAAAGCAAATACAGAAGTCAGACATTTCAAAACATTAAGCTGGGGAGATTGTTTTAAGGCTTGCAATCAAATTAGAATCAGCTTTCCTCTGGCAAGTTTCAAGACCATTTCACTATTTTCTACCAATGCTAAAATATCACTAAGAAAATGTTTTATACCTGTATTTCTTAGAATTCATCTTACTTATTTAGTATCTTCAAACGAATCACAGATAACTTACAAAAAGTAGATTATCTGCACTCACTTTTACCTTTGCAAGGCAACTGTCACCTGTACGAAATCCTTCACATCTAAGTGAAAGAAGAGAATTCAGACCTAACTGAACACTGATTCCTGCTCTGTCAGTCCTAGAAATCTGGTGGCACTTTTCACTAGATGGTGCTAGAATCTTTTCTTACCTTACATGCTGAGGCAATTATAGTGTTTGAATTATTGCAAGCAACACAGAAGATTTCATACCCATGTCCATATCTGAAATAAATGTGAAAAGATATTTAACATTTCACAGTCATTTTTGCAGTATATTTCAAGGTTCTTACATTAATTTAAATCTCCTTGCAAAAATGCAAGGCATCTGGCAGGAATTTCTCAACACTGTTTCAGTATCACATCCCAAACAATTCCTAATAATGCTCAGCATTCTGTATGACCACCTACATAAAAAAAAAAAAAATCTTTCACATTTAGGAACTGACTACAGAACAACCTTTGCAGCCCATTCTGTATTCCTAAAGTATCAGCACTGCAGAAGTCACACTAATGATAAGCAAAGCAGACTAAAGCAGCATTTAATGTATTCTTATTTTCTTCTAAAGCAATTTTAAAACTACCAGTACAAATCAGATGCCACATATTTGAAGATCCCTAAAGAAAGACACCGCAAACACCCAGCCAAAGGATGCCTGTTCTGTGAAATGCTAAAAAATTTCTGAACTAGAGGACAAGAGCCTTCATGGAAAACAACACTGTACAAAAACCTAAAAACTCTAGCTTCTTCCCAAATTTTTTAATCAGTGTTTGTACAACTTCTGCTGTAATTCAAGCTCACGTATCTGGACCAGGATTTAACTAATAAACAGAAATGCCACACAGACTAACACAAATTAAAATTGGTCACAAAACACACTGGAAGTAGAATAAAATTGGAGATGAAATCTATATAAACAGTGGACAAATATCAGCTAAATACCAGTGGCAGAGGGGGTTCCTTTGATTCCTAGCTTTAAAGAGATGGGCAGTTCTCTTAATAAACTCCTTTGGTCAGCAGTGTTGTAAAGAAGTTCTTCTATGGGATTGACCTTTGTGGGATTTCAGTTGCAGCCAGAGCAGCCATCTGTTTAAATAACAAATTACTGTCTGGATCCCTTGAATGGTGTCCAGAGTAGTCGCTGCTGGGCATATATCCCATGGACAGACTCCCACACTCAGGTCTGAAGACTGGGGATATGCTGCCTTTTTGTTAAAAGTAACTGTGCCTGGGCCTTCAGTGGGGAAAGAGACTGGTAACTGTGCTCCACTGGAACATTCCCTTGCAAATCTGCTTGTATCTCATGAAGGTATTATTGCATGTCTGCCCCTACCCTGCCACCACCAAGAGTTTCACTGTAATACTTACTTTTAAAGCACATTCACAATTTAAAGTACAATCCTTTCACCATTTTGTAGTGAAAACCACTGATAGTCAAGTTCCTAAAACTGAAAAGTATTTATTCCATGAAGTATATAAAACCCCTGAAATTCCATGAAGGAAGACCAACCTGTGGAACAACTTGGGAAACAAGTCCTCAGTTATTTTGGTTTTATCTCCTAAGTGTAGTATTGAAGAGCACTTGACAGGTATATTTTGCGCTTCTGCACACAACTTTGTTCTTGCTAAATACATGCATTAAAATGTAATCTTTCTCTTTAAACTAACATTAAACCTAAAAACCTTTCTTTTTCAAAGTCACACTAGAAGGACTATCCTAGCTCAGCCTGACAGCCTATATGGCCCCATGCTGTTTCCAGTAATGAGAATAAAGATAGTGGCAATAAGAAATGCTATTTACATGAGTGTATGACCCTGACAAGTACAGAAACACCTGTACAGCCCCCTCTCCTACACCCCCCCCCCCCCCCCCCCAATCTGTTCCCTTCATATGTAGTACAACACCCAAAAACGGTTCACAATGGAGAGAAGCAACCCCATGAATGAAAAATGAAGTGACATTTTCAACCTTATTTTCAGTAAGTGACTTTGCCTTAGCCATGTGCAATTCATAGCACTTTTAAAGTGCAGGTAAACTGGCTGGACTTCCAAAGTGTTCAGACAAATAATTACAATCATTATCTAGTGTCAGAGGATTTCTCAATCTTTCCAAGTGTATGAAGTCAAATATATATATATATGTTTATATGTATGTACATCTCTATATGCCAACACTTGGTCTTTAATCTCAGCCTACTGCATATGAACTATGGTAATTTTCCAGAGGATAAAGATTAGCATACTCTCACAGGATTTATCATATTTTTATTTTAAAGTTTAGATTATGTAAAAAATTCAGCAAGTTCTTCATACTAAAACCTACTCAAGCAAACACTTTTCGAAACCCAACACTAATCCTTCCAAATTCGGTGGCAGGTTAGAGCTGGGAATGCACAAACATCAATGACAAACAAGCTATATTTAGCAAATCAGTCCCTCACACTGTTTTTCTGCTGCTATGGTAACTCAAAATCTATATTATGCAATTTCATGTTACCTCTTTCAAGATTATCCTCAGCAAAAAACCCAAAAGTCTATGAATGCTTTATGTCTTGTCTCCCCTGGATAAAACAACCCTATCAACAGCAGTGCCTCTAAAAACAGAAAAGATTGCTCATGTAAGTCACCTGAAGACCACTGTAAAATGCAGTTATTTATGAATGCATGACATAAAAGCAGACATACAGTAATCCTGTAGCAGAATATGAAAGATTAATGTCTCGCTAGACTTGGAGAAATGTCAAAGGGAAATGAAGAAAATTTTGTCCTTGGGTCCTTTTCACTACCTAAATATCCCTCATCAAATCAGTTATGTCAGTAGGTGCTGAAGATTGTGGGAGTGTAGCCTAACGTTACTGGGACTCTTAGGGAACAAATAAGGTGACAAACTTCATTTGCAAATTATGAGTCTCAAAAAAAGAAGGAACAAAACACAAGTGAAGAATTCTAAAAGCTTGCCACCTCAAAACTATTATCATCATGATCACATACCCCTACTATCTTTGCAATCTGCAACCCGCTCCATCAGCATTCAGTACCCAAACTGGGTTTGTAACCATCTTAATCAACATTCATCACTTTGTTCCACCACGAGGCACATCCTATTTTGGCTGCTGCTTCCATCTATTTTACCTTACAACTCTGTTAGGCTTTAGGGAGAAGCTGCTTGTTCGATGCCTCAGCCTTCACTTCCACATAGAAAGACAAACTTGACCTGCAAGTCTGTGCCATGAAGTAGAAAGAAACAGAAAACCCCTTTTGCAGAGAGACCTTCAGTACAGGTGAGGTTTTAAGCAGATGTTCTAAGAAAGACATAAAGGCTGTGGCATGGAAAGAGGCCCATCATACTCCAGAGCACAGATAAGACCTTGAAAACGTACCACAGTTCCTTAGAGCAGATCAGGAACATTACTTTTTCTTGAAACAAGGAAGGAAAAAAACAGGGATCAGTGCCCTAAACGGACCTTCGTAAGACAAACATCCAAAGAGACAATGCAAGTCTGATCATTACAAATTCAAGACAATTGCTTTCTGTTAATAACCTTACATACTTCACTGGTTCTGAAACAACTAGTGAAATAAAATTTTGTGCCACATCAGTCCCAACTGACATTTTTTGTATTGTTTCCAAATTACAATTCCAATACACATTATTTATTTTGCAAACAATACACCACACACAGGCAAATAAGGTAGTAAAACAGGAAGAGTTACAAAACCACACTACATTAACATGTAGCAAGAGCTTTGTAGAAATTTTGCAAATTAAACAAAAAAAGAAAAATAAAACTTACAACTTCTGAATTTCAGGCCACAAGGTGTTCTGCAGCAAGTGATCCTCTGTGGGAGGTTCTAAAAGACATTTGTACAACATACTCAAATACGGTACTAAAACCTAAAATCAGCTGAATAATATTTCAATGACCCCAATCCTGTATTTCATACAATAGAAATAAATGTCATACCTGTAAGGATCAAGGGTTGAAAATAAATCTCGGGATACTGATTTGAAATGGTATTAAATGTTTCTTCATCCTCAGCTGTTTGAACAGCCATATCTCCTATTCAAAAGAAGGACTTCATTAGATAGAGAGAACATACCTTGACATGAGGGAAAATATGGCCACTTATTACACAAGTATAACAACACATCTATTGTTTTCACAATATAAGTAATTGAAATTAAGTTTCTCTGCTTCCAGAGCTACAGTAATAGGAATATTAGAATCTAGTTACTCTAATGCACAGGGGAATGAAGGGGGGGGGGCGAAATTTAAAAAAAAAAAAAAAAATCTAACCTTTGGACTAATTCCATTCTAAGATTAACCTCTCCGTACCAGCACAGTCTCTTAGAGATTCTTAAAGAGATTTTATCTTACCTGAAAGAATCAGTCACCAGGAGTTGAATCTGTGCTTCCTCAACATTAAACCTTTCCTTCTCTATTTGAAAATGTTTAAGGCAAAAATCTCAGATACAAGTGATGAATTCCCAGATTTCATGAAACGCCATACCTGCAGGAGTGCACCTACGATTCGCAAACTTCAGCAAAACTGCAGAGGGCTCAAACCTTAGCTTTAGGCAAAAGTACCAGAAGTAACTGAAATTATTCAGTTAATTTTAAGTTAAAATTCAACTCTGTCCTTCACCTGGAATGTATTATTTAAAAAGGTACAGAGATGGTGAACAGTTGCTCTCGGAGAGAATTTTTGCCAAAAGTACATTTCAAATACAGATGTTTATAAAAGCAAGTACAGAAAAAGCAGAACAGAAAGACTATCTTCTCATACACCCTGTCCTCTCTCCTCTTGAAAATCAAATCAGCACCATTTGACTAAATTGAGACTGCTATCTAATAATCCTCACTGACCATGAAGACTCCTCTGCAGAGCACGCAAGAGGAGAGGTCTGTGGGCTTTAACCTAAGCCACCAGTGCTGACAGCTCTGAGTGGGCAATGGGGAGCAAACAGGAAAATCTCACAGCTCTTCTACCCATAGTGCTGCTTCTGGGTGTGCCACATGGAATCAAAGGAAATCAGTTATTCTGAGTGGATGATACCCTAGGAGAATGAAGCTTTGTTCCCTCTCTCAGCAGAAGGACTCATGAGAAAGCAGAAGAAAATTTTACAAGTTACTTCAAGCACAACAAAGCTAATTTTCTCTCACACAAGATTTAGGAAAATGTAGCTGTGTTGTCGCTGAAGACCCTGGAGAGAAAGCTTATTAAAATGCTTCTTTTTTTTAATTCACGCCTTCTGATAAAGCTTTAAGCAGAGAATAAACAAGTACAAACTAATTTGTAAATGCCAGTGTTTTTCACAGAGACATTATTAAACACCAAATTACCACTCCCATTCCCAGTCTCAACACACTACTCAGTTTTTATCGTTCTAGACATGTTTGTCCCTCTCT